ACAATATGTTTCTGCACTATTTTGTTACTTTACATTAACAAGAACATGGATGTGATGGAATAAAGGGTTAATTTTGCGCTATTTATCTATGTACAGCCTTTCCCTCCACATTACTTTCTCCAGACTATTTTATCTTGCATTTCAGAATGCAGTTTCTCCATTAGCAAGCACGTCAGACCCAGGGTGGAGCCAATCTGAGCAGATTGTTATACAGTGGCTGGAGTATTATATCAGAGAAATAGGAAAAAAAACTCCCCCCACTATTTTAGAAATCAGTTTTAGACAACAACAAGATTACATTTGTATAGCGCCTTTTATATTGGGAGGACATCCCAAGGCGCTGGACAGTGTCGAAGAGGAGGGTTTTGAACAACTTGAAGGAGGCTAAGGAGGAGGTAAGGCGGAGTGATTAGGCGATGGAATTCCAGACACTCAAGAAAGAGGCTTAAACAAAAAACAGTACAAGATAGAACACAAAACAGCCACTCCTTCTCTCAAAAACTGCCTCATCAGCCAAGCAGACCGCTTACTAAGCTATATACTGCCTGTTATAGCTAAGGCTGTAAGTGGCAACAGACACATGCACTGGATGTGCTTATCCAATACGTACTTTATACAAAGGACATAGATTCCGTTTTCAGTGAGTCACTATTTGGCACACGTTCACTTAAGTGCAAACCAATGACAGTGTTGGAAAACAGCCTGAACATCATATCAGTATGAAGCCACCTCCAGAAAATGCCACTGCCAAGCTGCCATCACTGACACATCACTCCATCCCACAGTCCCTTCGCATTCTCCCTCTTCTTGCCTCCTTCAAGGCACGTCTTAAGACTCCTCTTCGACTGTGTCTTCGGTACCCTCCACAAATATACAGTCAATTCACTTTACAGTATATTCTGTGAAGCGCTTTGGGACGTCTAGAAGACGTGAAAAACGCTACATCAAATGCAAGGATTATTATTATTATTATTACCCCTACTCTCTCTGCCCTCCAACCTTCCTGATCCCAACCCCCAGCTTGGGTGCAAATCCCTGAATATCCAGCACTTTGGGATGTCTTCCCTACATGAAAGGCGCTATTAACAAAACAAGTGAACAATGAGTGATACAGTAAGATCTTTTGCTTTGAGAAAATATTCAACAGTAAAACTAATTCCAGCATTTCCACAAAATGTATGGGAAGATCTTCACTTTTTGACCTTCTGCTTTGAGTCTTCCAACATGATGTTTTCAGAATTTAGCTGCTTAATATAAACAGTATTTTAAACATTCCCATGGGGTTGTGTATTGTAAAATGGAAACACAGGAAATGGCTAAATCTAAATAGTATTTTTGTTCAGGAAAGTCAACTTTCAAAACAACGACATCTGTATGATTTTACCATAGTGCTGACTCGCGACAAACTGGCAGTCTAATACATTCACACAGTCTATCTTTGTTACTAAAAACTACATGTTGGCTACATGTTTATAGGCTTCAGAATCCAACAAAAATACAATTCATTTTAGTGCCTGCGGAAGTGACAGATGACAGCCTTTGGCTCATACACAATAGGAGATTACCCCCCTTCCATCCCCCAACAATCAACTTGGTTCAACCATTAACCCTCACAGCACCCAATGGCACAAATTCCCACCCTCACTTGTGCTCACTCCCTCAGTGATATTGGCAAATATACTAAGATAACTAATGGCGGTTTTAGGGTTTGGACACAACACTGAGAATGGGAGAGAGGCAACAAGTAACAGCTTAAAAAGCTTGAAACCAGGTATGGAATCTCCTGCTACTTATTATTTGGAGAAATGAAGAGAGGAAATGAATGTCGTTGTGGCTTCTGATGAAGTTTTCGCCATTGACTTGAGACAAAGGTGAGGTAATTGGTGATTGTTTTGAAACTATTCTGCAGGAAGTATAGGCTATCACCCAGATCTTACTATTAGCTGAAAATCAGGACTTAATCCATGGTTTCCAAGTGTGGGGTTACAAGTATATAGCAGGAGAGACAACGTTGTTTAAATTTAACATGGTGTTTTAATTTTGAATTGTTTAACATTGTGGGAAAGAACATTAAAACATTGTTCTTTACCAGAAATTCATCCCTGTCCAAGAGGCCCAGTTGGTCCCAACATGCTTTTGATTATTATAAATTCAGAACCGTGAACTTCAAGTGAGCTCAGTTATATCGTTCACTTTATTCCAAAATATTCCAGAGCAATGTGCTTCAATCAGACCCAGCCTGACGTACTGTGCTCCCTTCACCCCCAGCTCAGGCTTCTCTGCACTGGCAGGACTGTGTGCAGAGCCTCACCGCAGACTCCCTGCCAGCATTCCAGCTAAGCTGGCCCTCATTTCCCAGTCTCTTTCACATCCTCTCTTACTTCGCTATTTCTGGTGTGCCTGTACTCTCCTGCCCCACCTCCCTCTCATCCTGGCTCTGTTTGCTGATTCCTTACTTAATATACATACCGAGGTTGAGGCAAAGGTTCCATGAATTCTCCATCTCTGCCCAACCACCTCACATGAGTGCTACTGTCAGTTGCATCTGTCCACGATTCCCCAAATTCCTAGGATGAACATGAAAATCCTCCCAGTCCTTGCTAACACTGCTCTGGATATGTATGTCTGGTCTTCTGGCATTCCCCTACCCAGGGATATGGGGTCACCTCGGCCACCACAATCCCTTTATTGTACACCTTTAGCAGCAGCGGCTTATCCCTACATAACAACACCTCATGCTATTCCTCACAATGGCACATGTTTTAATGCCAACCTCTGCAAGACCACTCCAGGTATATGCAACCACAACAACCACATCCAAAATACATTTGCATAGTGCCTTTCACGTTGGGAGGATGTCCCAAGGCGGTGGACAGAGTTTCAGACCTGAGCTGGGGGTCGGGATCGGGGAGGGTGGAGAGCAGGGGGGGGGGGAAGCAGGTTGATCGAAAGCACGGTCGAAGAGGAGGGTCTTGACATGGATCTTGAATGAGGCGAGGAGGCCAGGCGGAGGGACTGTGAGATGGAGTTCAAGAGGGTGGGGGCAGAGTGGAAGAAGGTCCGCCCACCAATGATGGGGCGAGCGAGGCGGGGAACGTGCAGCAGGCCAGAGCCCGCTGAGCGGAGGGAACAGGCAAGATGGTAGGGGTTTAGGAGGTCGCAGAGGTAGGGGGGTGCAAAACCATGGAGTGCTTTGAAGGTGAGGACCAGGATCTTGAACTTTATGATGGGAAGCTAGGAAGTCTGGCGAGGATGGGTTGATATGGTCATGGAGCCTGGTGCGGGAGAGTACACGGACTGCAGAGTTCTGGATGAAGGCATTGGGAAAGCCGAAATGCAAGGAGTTTGCATAGTCAAGCCTCGATGTAATGAATGCAAGAATGAGGGTTTTGGCAGCCTGTGGTGTGAGGCAGTGGTGGAGCTGGGCATTGCTGAGGAGGTGGGGGAACGCAGAGCGGTCATGGCATAGATGTGGGGTAGAAGGGATAGTTGAGGGTTAAACAGGATCCAAGGTTCTAGACTGGCTTAGTAAGGTGGAGCAACCAGGGACTGTGAAGCTGGCAGCGCCTGAGGTGTGGAGGCGCTGACGGGAGCCAATCAGGAGAGCCTCGGTCTTGTTGACATTCAACTGAAGAAAGTTAGATCTCATCCAGGGCTTGATGTCTGGCAGACATTCTGTCAGGATAGCAGTGATCCTAGAGTCAAGGGTGGAGGCAGAGAGGTACAGTTGGGTGTCATCCACATACATGTGGAAGTTGACTGCATGTCTGCCGATGATGTCACCAAAAGGGAACATATAGATGTTATAAGAAAATAAGAACATAAGAATTAGGAGCAGGAGTAAGCCATTTGGCCCCTCGAGCCTGCCCCGTCATTCGATAAGATCATGGCTGATCTTCTGACCTAACTCTAATTACCTGCCCTATCCCCATATCTCCTAATGCCTCTGTGTTTTTAAAAATCCATCAGTCTCAGCGTTGAAGATGTTCAAGGACTGAGCATCTACAGCCTTCTGGGGTAGTGAATTCCATAAATTCACTACCCTCTGAGTGAAGAAATGTTTCCTCAACTCTGTTCTAAAAGGCTGACCCTTAATTTTCAGACTGTGACCCCTGGTTAGAGATTCTCCTGAAGAGGAGGGGACCAAGGACAGAGTCCTGAGGAACGCCGCACGAGACGGTGTGGGGGCTAGAGAAGAAACCGTTTGTGTAGATGAAGTGAAGGCGATGTGAGAGGTATGATCTGAACCAGTCACAGACAGAGCCGTGAAGGTTGAGCTGAGAGGAGAGGCAGTGGATGAGAATAGAGTGGTCAATGATGTTGAAGGCAGCAGAGAGAACAATTTTGCCATTTGTGAGCTCATAAAACCAGCCCCCCCCCCTACCCACACACTTCCCCCAGAGGACTGGCATTCACTCTGCAGGCAATGACAGACCATAGTCTCCAACTGTGAGCTGAGAGTTAAGGAGATCTAGGTGCTGCTGCTGCTGGACTTGGGAGTCTTGAGCCTTTCATTGTACATGCTGCTCCATGCTCAAAAAAGGAGAGAAAACTGTCTTGAAAAGAAATCAGTCAACCTCCAAATACCCTCTCAGAGCTTTCTCGCAGGTAGTTTTGCAGAATTCTAAACTGAGTAACATTGAGACCAAGTTAGTGGTTTGAATTCTGGTCTGTGTTGAATTAATTAAGGTGAAATAAGATAGGTAACATGACTTCCTAATTCAGAAGGACTGTCTGTATGTGGTGAGTGCACTGAATTGGTTACTGTTGAGATAAAACAAGGCCAATGAGTTGACCACTGTGTTGCATCTAGTGCTCAGAGGGTTAAAGTCTTCCAGAAGCAAATGCTGGCCAATCCCACCCAGGAGAAAAGAACATCGTTTGAAAGAGAAAAGATGAAAACAATTCGGAGAAATCCCAGGCACCGAGATTTATTGGCCTGGAGCCAAAGGGGGCTGGAATAGCTCGAAGCTCCTTTAACTCGGAGAAAATTAATAACATACAGTGGCCAAGACAAAAAAAACTTTTGAATCTGGAAGCGTGCAGAGCAGAGCAGCGTCTGGTGAAGAGTCAAACTGCCTTTGCCAAATGTAGAAGCAGCATAGATTGCACAATTAATTACAGAGCAAAAGGGGCCTCATTTGCTTCTTAACAGTGTGAGGGCTGGTAACAGCTCCAAACCATTCACTGACAGGACTCTCTCCCGATAAAAGAAAACTCAAAACTGAAACGAGTCCTTTGCAGTAAAAGCCTCAGACCTGCGAGCAGCCAGGGACCATGATGTCATGATGTTTTCTTTTTGATTCAAAGGCACTGAGAGCCGGGTTCCTCAGGATAAAGAGCACGGAGGATGGAGCAAGCAGCGAGACTCCTTCTGTGCTATGTACTCTTTTCTAAAGGTAAGGAATGTGGGCCATTCACCTCAAACAAACTACTTAGTGCCGCTTCAGAAAGACTGAAATCGTGGTACTGTTTTCCAGTGAAATACTGCATTTTGTCCTAATTCCAAAGTTAGCTGCAGACCTACTTGTCAGCGAATGTTTAGTCAGTGGAAGCAAGTGGAAGGGCAGTTGCTGAATTGTTCTGTTGAGTTTTGTAGAATTAATGGAATTATTCTAACCTGGTACCTGAATAAACAATATTCCCCGTTGGAAGCTCTCAGCCTCAGGCAGAGCATGGCTGCTTTCCTCTTTAGCCTGAAAACTCTCCGCTTGTGCTCGATCCTGTTGTGTCAAAGACTCAATCATTTCACTTTTCAATTATATTAATTAATTGTAGTTTCACCCACAAAATACACAGTCAACTCACTTTACAGTATATTCTGTGAAGTGATTTGAGACGTCTAGAAGACATGATAAGGATCTATATCAAATGCACGGATTATTATTATTATTTATACCCAATAGTGCAAGGCAAACCAATGAAAGGCAAGTAGCTAGCCTTTATCTAATTTAATGCGTTTCCTACCATGTGAGACTTGTTCTCTGTCCCCAAACTCAGCAGCAGGCTAATATCAACCACAGACCCTGTAGTTCTATTGACTATTTACAGTGTATCCTGTGAAGCGCTTTGAGGCATCTCAACGATATGATAAGGTGATATCAAATGCAACAATTTAAACAAAAAAATTTTGTTACCAACAATGGAGACTTCACCTGGAAGGCGAGCTAGCCTAGGGATTATGCCCGCCAGTTAATGTAATTGCTATAGTTTATTTTGTGACGTGTTTTTCAAGGTAGGGCAAATGGATGAAGTACTGTTCACTGGCTCTAGATGACTTAGGTGAATGAGTATGTGCAGTCTATGGGCGAAGGTAATAGCATCAGACTGGCACAAATCAGCAGTCTGATTGAAAGGCAAACGTATAACTGAGAAGTGAAAAACACACACTGGTGGTGTGGAGTCTGCTCTTGTGAATTGGTAGTTGAATTATAACTATAAGAGCTTTACTTGCTATTGTGTTCACACTGGGTAGCTGAGAAGGTAAGTTTAATTTCCCAGCACGACCTTTTGAGCACAAACATTTCAACTTCCAAAGGTAAATAATATAAAGAGCTCACATCTCTAAACCTCCATCTCTAAAGCAGCCCTGTTGCGAGGATTCTTGGTAAACTTCTGGTTACTCTGTTTGTTTACAGAAAGCTAGAGTAGGTCATTTGGTTTACAATGTGAGCACAGAACTGAAGGGTATAGGAATGAGAACAAAAAGGCACAACAGGATGAGTGATTTGAACTTTCCGCCACTAACAAGAGCAATTAATGCTCCATCAACCAACTCCCTCAAAAGAGGAAGTGATTTATGCTCTTACTTCTGATGAGACATTAAACCAAGGTCTTGTCTGCATGTTTAGGTGGGGACATCAAAGATCCTCCAGATAAAATTGGTCATTCACTTCATGGCTTTTGTGGACATTGCTGTGTGGAAATTGACAGATGTGTTCACCTACAAAATACATTGTGACTATACCTTACAGTAAATTCTGTGAAGTACTTTGAGACATCCTCCTGAAGTAAAAATTATTAGATGAAGGATTATTCTACTACTATTACATTACAAGTTTGTCTGCAGAGATGGCCTGCTCTACTGGCAACCCATAATATAAAGCGACCCAATTTGCTGCTGTTTTATATCGGCAGACCTTTCTCAGGGTTGTAACTCCCACAACGTCTATCTCTAGAATCACAACAACAAATTATATTTGCATAGCGTCTTTCACATCAGGAAGATGTCCCAAGGCACTGAAATGGTTGCTGCTGGAGCAAATGGACACTGACGTTCTGTGAACATTTGTCATCACATTAGCGCAAAAAAGAGAAGTTTGTTTTCCTGACCGTCACAAGTGAAATAAAGGTAACAGAACTCGGAGAAGGAGAGGAGCAATTACCTGATTATCAGACACAGCTCCCAACCTCCTCTATTGTTATTTTCAGTAACAACAATCATAAAAATATACCTTCAAAGGTTTTCCACACGTGAAATGTATCTGATGTCATTGGATCATTCATTGTGCTACAAACACTTGTCTCTCCACCGCCCTCACAATGTGTGGATACAAAAACTACACGGTGACTTCACAACAATAGTGCTAGACTGTCACTTCTGTTTGTGTTACAGTCAGTGCCAAAGTATCCTTAATGCAAAAGTGGCTTAAGTCTGTGCTTCAGAACATTTATTTGATTTGTTTTCACTTCTGAAAGGTGCTTTATGAAATAAGATTAGGACTTTTGACACTTCTACTCTAATTATATCTATGTTAATCAAAGTCCTAATTTATTACTCCTATCCTTGCAAAGTATAGGTTATTTCTTGTGTTTTCTTAGTAAACTATGGGGAGATGCAATTGATTAAGCTTAGAGCAGCATAATCCAAACTTTTGGCTACTGAGGACTGGATGCGGGATTTGAGACTATCCCGATTTAGGGAGGCTCAATATGACAATGTTTTAGAATCCATGGTCTCTAGAAGGTCCTTTGCTTTGTAGTTAACCTGTCCTATACCTGACCAGGAAGTGATGAATCTTGATCGTGAATGATAAAAGAGGAAAACTCTGTCCAAGTGACAGGGAAACAAACATTTGTAATGAAATGCTAGATTATTGTTAACATACATCAACCAACCATTCCTTTCATTAGTTTTCCCTGGAAGTTAAAAATCTTTGCTCCTTATAAACAGTCAAAACAAGGACATTAACATGGCTGCTGCCTTCTTGCTCGAACAGTTTCCGTGAATGTGGTTTCTTGACTTCTTGCCAGAGAGGATTTTTAAACTGTTTTCTTTCCTCTTGCCTGACAAGAACCATGTGACCCTTATGTTTATTACTTGGAACATGTTTTGTAAATCAAACCAGCTGTCCCTGATCTCCACTTGATCTGGTGTCCAGCATCTGGCAGGAAGTGAAGAAATCCATGAACCCCCCCTTACTGTACAGTGATAGAGCAGCAACAGAGTTTTCTTTCCAGCAATATCAGCACAAAGAGTTATTGGCTTATTGGGTTAGTTATTCTGTGGTCATAGAGTGTTAATCTGTCATCTGATTACTCAGTTTATCTCAATCACAACATCTCATGAAGTTCTGCAGCTTAGTGGTTAGAGCATTCGCCTCACAAATGAGAGGATCCAGGTTCGATTCCCGGGTGGGGCGAAACATTTGGCAAGTTTCCTTTCTCCACACACCTCTATTAATTGGCTGCTGCGTCTTGAAGACATGATAAGGCGCTATATCAGATGCAAGGATTATTATTACCTAACCTGAACTATCTTGAGAAATACAGCGAGTCCTTCAAGGTCAAGTACTACTACACCTCCTTTAGAAGCAGAGGGATCTGGGCTGAGCGCTAAGGCAGGAGGACATAGAAATGTCTTGAGTGGCTCTTATCATAGAATCATAGAATCGTACAGCACAAAAAGAGGCCATTCGGCCCATTGAGTCTGTGCCGGCTCTTTGAAAAGAGCAATGTAATGTCAATCCCAATCCCCAGCTCTTTCCCCATAACCCTGCAGACCCGTCCTCCTCAAATACCCGTCCACCGCGTTTTTAAAAGTTATTATCGAATCGGCCTCCACCACCCTTTCAGGCAATGTGTTCCAGATTCAAACAACTCGCTGCGTGAAAAAATTTCTTCTCATCTCCCTTCTGCTTCTTTTAGAGACTATTTTTAATCTGTGACCTCGAGTCACCGACACACCCACCAGTGGAAACAGTTTGTCCCTTTCTAACCTATCAAATCCCCTCATGATTTTGAAGACCTCTATTAGGTCTCCTTGTAACCTTCTCTGCTCCAATGAGAATAATCCTGGACTCTCTAGCCTTTCCTCATAATCACGGTCCCTCATTCCTGGTACCATTCTTGTAAATCTCCTCTGCACCCTTTCCAATGCCTTAGCATCCTTCCAATAGTGTGGTGCCCAGAACTGGGCTCAGTATTCTAACTGAGGCCTAACCAGTGTTTTATATAGGTTAGATGAATGACAATGAATATATTGTCTGGCCCACAGATGTGCTGGAGGAAGTTGCCCAACATCTTTCTTACTGGTCCTGATAAGACTCCAGCCACTCCACATATTGGACTGCTTCACAGATCTCAGCAGTGGTGTGCTGGTGAGCCTGAGACTGCCTTTGTTCTGTATTTTTGTAATAATTAGTAAAGATATTATCCACTAACGAGCAGTCTAGCGATACAATTGGCAAGTCCAATATGGCTGGCTTCTGAGTGCAATAAATGAGACAGGTGTCAAGAAGTCTGCCTTCAGCACACGCAGGCAGCAGTTCATGTGTGAAATATTTAAAGTTATAACTAATTTGAATGTATTTGAATTTGAATAATTTGAAATACTTAAAAGATATTTAAGTAACATCATAATTTTCACCCTGGAATCTTTGTGCCAAGAGAGGAAAGACTATCACCTTCTCAATCCAGACTAGAAAATTCCTTGGAGGGAAAGACTGCGCCCTGACCCATTTAGTATTTGCTACTCAATTCCTTTGTCGTGCTTAGTAATTGATCAACCAGATCAGTGGCATAATCTCAGCGCTTTACTCAATCTCCACAAATTTTGCTTTGTGCTTTGTTTTTGAACTGCCGTTTGAGTTCAAACTCCTGTACTTGATCATAGTCCTAAATGGCACAGCAAACTGGGTGGGTTGTATGGCTATTTTATTCCTGCTTCATTTTAAACCTCCTTTAAATGAAATAGCAATGTTAGACTGAATTACAAAATACATAGAAAATCCTGTAATGCCTTTTGAGACATCCTTCTGACTGGAAAGGTGCTACATAAAATGCAAGGATTGCTATAAATGGGCAAGATGACATTCCGAAATATTTCCTTGTGCCTCTGATTTCACTATTTGTGCTTCAAAGTTCTCACTAACAGAGTTAACAAAAACTAATTATTTTTCCAGATGTGGTGAAGTTGTAAAACAATCTCAGTGCATAGGCCTGCAGAATGACAGGGGAAATGCATCCTAGAAAACTTGGTCCTTGGCTCCATGGAACTGGATCAGTAATAGATACCTTCATAAAATCCTAGACACTTACAATACAGCAAGGGGCCATTTGGTCCATTGAGTCTGCCGGCTCTCAGAGCAAGGTGTTCATTCAATCCCATTGCCCTGCTTTATCCCTGTACCCCTTCAAGTCTCTATGCTTCATACAATTGTCTTCTTCCCTTTTGAAACAATGGACTCTGCTCTACCACCTATTTGTCAATATCAGGGGAATATTAGTGTTGTCATTCACCATGCTACATTGTCAAATAAGTTAATTTGGGGAAAAAAGCTTGGTACCTACTAATGTCATACCAATCTTTTCTCTGCAACTCGTTTCAACCTTACCACAATATGAGCCATACTACTTACCAAGGTTCACGGTTAAATAATCCACATCTGATGAGCTGCAGTGTGATGCTTGAAGCACTGTGATGCTTGAAGTGTATTTGATTAGTGTTTGGCCTAAGATGATGTGTGTGTTTGTCTGTGATTGAGATTGCTTTGGACAGCTGGGCCCTCTGTTGCAGTTTTACAGTCTGTAGTGTGACTGTCTAGATTGGAAAAAGTCATCCCTTTAAATTTAAATTCAAAATTATCCATTTTTCTAAACCAAAAACTTGTCTATTTGGCACAAGGGCTTTGTACAACATGTGTTCAAGATTAGAGAGATGGGTTTATGAAACTGAAATAAGGGCTGGAATGTCTGCTTCAACTTTCAACAACACAAGACTGTATTTAGGTTGGCAAACGACTTTCCAGACTGGGTGGGTGTTGATGGTATGGTCCAGTCTCCTTTGGACATGGGCTCAATCCAACACCCGTGACTTCAGATTTCAAATGAAAAGAATCCTTGGCTCCAAAGTGGCTATTTGATGCACAGATTCTTTGTTTGGCTTTGAGAGGGAGTCTCATCCTTCAGACTGACCTACTTCCCTTCATTTCTCTGGTATGTGATAAACAATTGTGTAACTCATCTTCTGCCTAATCTGGAAAACACCCCTCTGATTCTCACATAACAATCATATGGCATGTGGCTTTCTTTTGTTTAACAGACTCTTAACATCTATGAATGGCTAAGTTATGTGTAGGGGGGGGGCTATAAAATGCAAGTTATTGTGGTTGTGAATAATTTTCTCAGAAGAGAACATTGTGAAGAAAAATAGTTGAGAAAAGAAACTTCCTCATCATTCACTTTTCTCTTTCCACAGTGCAGTCAGCCTTCCTCTACACAAATGGTAAGAGTTCTTCTATGATTCTACAATCTTGTGTCAATAATTTGTAAAAATTTGTCCTTTGAAAATCCATTCAATATTTCTGTAGCTGATCACTGGCAACTTGCTTAAGAAGTACTTCAGGAAATGGTTTCCTCAGAGAAAGTAAACAGTAGTTTGGTAGTTTACTTTTAATCAAGGTTGGAACTCTGGTCTGAGTAAGATCAGTTGACTAGCAATAATAGAGACTAAATTAGCATCAGTGTCTTTGAAGAAAACAAAGAAAGCCAGTCACTCTTAAATGTTATCCAATTACCCCTACTTAAAAGTGGGTAAGTGTGTGTGTGAATATGCATGTGAGTGTATACCAGGTGAGGACAGGATCGGGCTTGGCTGCTACATCCTCTGCCAACACTCATTGTCACAGCTCAGACATGAATTATGGCCATTTGAGGATGGGACAGTAGGGTCCTCAGTGCATGTGAAACTGTACTTCATTAATAGGGAAAAAGAGCAAACACTTTCAAGAGCAAAAGGGAAGAAAATTGGTGAATAATCTTAAAAATGTCTTTTTGTTTTAAAGTTCCTGCAAATTCACTGAATTTGGATAGCGTTGTGGTAGCATACCATAATCTATCCGTCCCCGCTGGGTCAGAAGCAGTACTACAGTGCCACAGTCGTCGAATGGTTTGGACCCACGACCGCCTGAATGACCGTCAACGCGTGGCCCATTGGGACTGGTACTCAATCGGTGGTGAATACAAGGTCAAGCGTGTTCTTGACATGTTCTCAGCAGGTGATCAGCGGGTCTACAACACCTATGACGAAGGACGGATAATGATGTCTGCCACAGCATTTTCAAATGGAAACTTCTCCTTAGTGATAAGAGGTAAAAACCTCCTTTGCTTATTACAGAAAATAGTTTGACAATGTTCAGAACATGACCTCCACTTTATATTCTATGGATCTGAAGTAGCATTGGATTTCCTATTATAAAGATTTAAAGCAAAGAGTTTTAGTAATCCAAAATTGTGCAGCCCGCATACTCACTCACACTAAACTCCATACATAACCTCATCACACCAGTTCTAGCCAGGCTCCACTGGCTCCCTATTGCCAAACGGATCGATTTCAAGATCCTCACACTTCGTCTTCAAATTACTTCTTGCGCTGGCACCTCCCCACCTCTCTGACATGCTTACCCCAAACTCACTGCCTCCGCTCGACTGCCTCTGGCCTTCTGCATGTCTCTAATGAGCTCCATTCCACCGTCGGTGGCTGCACTTTCAGCTACTATGCCACGAACTCTGGAACACTCTACTTCTATCCCTCCGCCTTGTCCCCTCCTTTCCCATCTTCAGATCGTACCTGAAGATCTTCCTCTTTGACCGTACCTACAGTCACCTACCCCTTCCCCCGGCTCAGCATTGTGCTCTGCCACTGTCAAGCACTCTGGGATGCTCCCATCCATGAGGGGTGCTATATAAATGCAAGTTGTTGTTGTTGTAAGCAGCAATTCCAAGACAAGAAGGGTTTGTGAAAGGCAGCGTATGCCAATCAAAGTTATTGAAATTCTGTTAGAATTAATTCCATCATGGAAGATGTAATTGCAAACAATTTGATTGCTTACAAAGACACAATTACTACACTTTAAGGTTAATTCTGTGATACGCTTGGAAATTTTCCAACAACACAATAAAACACTGTATCAAATGCAAGGATTATTATTTTTATATTATAAAGGTTCAATGTCCTAGTTTACGGATGATGTTAAAGTATGTGAGAAATGGGGTAATATTCAGAATGATTTAGAGAGATTAGGCAACAACACCCGCATCAGAAATTCAATATTAAAAATGACAGGAAATACATATTAATTCAGTATACTGGGATACTAAGAGCCAGTATCCTAATGAGTTACATTTCAACCTATTCGACAGTACCATAAACAGTCTACTTATCTTCCTTATGTTTTAAAGATTTTAGACCAAACGACAAGGGGATTTACACATGTAACCTTCACCACCATTACTGTCACCTTTACGAAACAGTCCGAATTCAACTGAATATCACCAAGTCAGGTAAGGATTTGTATGTGTACAAAGTGAGGGATTGTCGCCTTTTGTACTATTCTGCAACTAGTTCTAAGACTTCTGCTGTTGAGGCCTCTCGACAGCAGGTAAATCTCAGTTGGCACGCAAGTGCATTTGTATAGGAGGGAAAGCTACAGAACTAACTGAGGACTCAGTACCTCTGATGCTGGTTACACATGCCATACTTTCGCTGAGGTGTTGGAAGAAGAGCAAACTGTTATTTTCATTCCAGCCTAATTACAGCAGTAAACATAGATACTTCCCACAAATGTACTACAAAAAACATGTTTTACCAGAAAAAGAATTTAATTATGTTTAAATGTGCTGAAATGGCAAAGTTCTTTGGGTGTTCCCCTGTGGACAGTTATTAAGTGATTGCAACATTCTGCTGCAAAGCTGTGCTTCCACAGAATTGCATGTTTTTGCTTTTGAGACAGAAACAGGCAATGGATGGGCTGAACCAGTGATCCTCATTATGAAGTTATCAAGTTAGCTTCAAAAAGGTCTTAGAGTTTATTGTACAAAAGGCAATCCATTGTCAGTCTCAACTCTTCCCAAAGTGTGCTGATTGTCCTGTAACATTATTTATTGTTTTTTCTTAAAAGAACTTTAAAAACTGACCCTCAGTTTTTGTTTACAGTGCGGAAGGTAAGGAAGTTTTGGGATGGAGTGAAAGTGGTGGTGGTGGGCTTAGCTGGCTCAACAGTGGTGCTGCCTTGTGAAAATCGCAACCACATCTGGACTGAGAGACACAGCGAGGAAGAGCAACAGGTGGTCCATTGGGACAGATCACCTCCTGGAGTCTGGCATGATCAAGCTGACCGGCTGATAGACCTCTATGCCTCTGGAGAACAGCGATCGTATGGCCCACTCTTTATAAGGAAGAGGATGAATATATCGGAAACAGCCTTCGCCGATGGAGACTTTTCACTGATCATTTCTAATCTTCGCCCAGGTGATGAAGGACTCTATTCATGTGATCTGCACCACCATTACTGCGGGATTCACGAGAGACGGATCTTCAATCTCTTCATCACAGAGCCAGTTAAAGTGAACTTTACAATCAAGACAAGTAAGAGAAATCTTTTTATACATCAAATCTATGATCAGGTTCATGTGATATGATCTTATCATCAATAAGGCACTATATTGAGCAGTAGGAATAGAATAGTAACGCCATTTCTGTTGTACATATGGTCTCAGTGAGCCGTGAATGTCCCTGACAGTTGCTGTTTGAGGATGTAGTGCACACGCACCAACATTTCACTGAGTACAAGGTACTGTAGTTCTAAAGATAACACAGGATTCTTTCTCGTTGGCCCCTAGGAGATAAAAGAGCAGGAATGGGATGTGACCACAACTCACATATTCCATCCATGATACATCTCCAAGCTCAAATGCAAGAGTCAGCAAATAGAAATAACAGAAATAACATTGCTGTTCCTCATGGTGTTTCAACTACAACAACAAAAACAAATTGCATTTATATAGCGCCTTTCAAGTTGGGAGGATGACCTAAGGCACTGGACAGAGAAGAGTTTGCACCTGAGCTGGGGGTTCGAATCGAGATGGGGTGGAGGGGAAGGGGGTGGGGTGGGAAGATGACTGAAGGCATGGTCAAAGAGGAAGGTCTTGATGAAGGAGGCAAGGGAGGGAAGAGGCATTAGGATTCAAATGGAATAGGCAGCATATCTAATCAGAAGTATTCATTCTTTTCCATTAAGAACCAATTATCCAAAGTTTGAGATTCTAAGAGCTATGCAGTCTGTGTAAGTCTGTGTTCTGCTTACACAGCATTTCTGCCACTGGCACTGGTAAGATCTAGCACTTGTAAGCATGGGTTCAGACTCACAGTATGTTGCAAGTATCAGACAGATTGCAATGGGACGTGACACAACTGAGAATGAATGCATCTGTGTACAGGTTCAAGATGTTGCGCCAAGAACTAAAAAAGCCAGACACAATTACACAATCCTTTCAGGTGTAGTTAATAAAGTTGGCATACAACAAACTGCACAATACAGCAGAAATATTTACAATGCTAACACCTAACAACACAGAGCCAGCAGGGTCTTACATGAAACAGCCTGCTATTCTCATTCCAAATCCAAGTGTGGAACTTCACTAAACACTGAATGTATTTGAAATTCTTTAAAACAATGCACCATTAGCTACTAAAGACTTTGTTGCTAAATGGGGATTAGCAATGATATGAGATCATGCCAGCACATATGGTGACCTGGTGGTACAATGTGTTAACAAATGGCTTCTTATTCATAATTACCAACAGCGAGTCTCCCCACACACAGTGAGTCTCAAAAAATGAAAAAAATAGAGAGTGAGTTAATCATGAAGGGAGATTTGAGAGTACAATAGATAGAGGGATGGAAAGATAGGCTTTGTTATATGGTTAATCTGGGAGAGCATGGGAGCTAGAAGGTGACATAATGCCACTGTATATGATAATTCTTGCATTTGATATAGAATGGGTAAGACAAAACAAGTTGAAACACTTTCAATTGAAGAAATTTATCATAGAAACTTACAAAAAGGGAAAAGTAATGATTCTGCTTAGTATATTTCAAGGCTCTGAGTCTTTATCCTACATGTAGGGTTAGAGTTGGAGTAGGGCGCTATATAAATGGAAGTTGTCTAAGTGAGGGAATATTAAAGTCTGATTCTCTCTCAAATAGACCAATACAACAGAACAAAAATAAAACATACTGCAGCTGGTTACCACCATTAGAGTTGGCCATCTTCCATTTTGTTTGAAAACCCGGTAGAGTACACCCCTCTCTTCTTCCCAACAAACATCCAGTCGTATTAAAGAAATGACTCAGGAAATTCAGGTTAAATATGATGTTTGTGTCCTGATTTAATGTAAGCAAAATAAAAAGAGCATATATAACATTATTATTAAAAAGAGCAGCATCAAAGCTCTCTCACATATCAAAGAGATGTTTCTGCTCAAGTGAAACTCTGTTAATGTATTCCAGCCAACCACTAATTGGTACACACTCAGTGGGGGATAGCGTTCTGCTGGCCAACAACATAAAACTTGAGCTTATCATCTCTTCATTTTGTCCCTTTCTTTCTTTTTTCTTCGTCGCCTCATTACTCTTCCATTACCAACACCTTTTAGGAATGCTCTTCCTGACAGAGGTGTTTTGAAGCCCAGCTGTTTTACGAGAATATGTTCCAAAAAGTTTCAAAAGTTTCTCAAGGGTGAAATACATCCTGTACAACAGCATATGGGAACCATATGGAACTGGCAGCCTCCCATCAGCTCAGAGGATTTTTTGGGGAAGAAAAACAAATGAGAGCCAGCCAAGAAAGTGACAAAACTGAAAGAACGAGCATTCTGATTTGTAAAGGGAGATGTTCTGCGATGTAAATTCTCAGTGTTTATCTTTAAGCAAAAGAAACATGTCGAAAAACAAGCTGAATTCCCAGCATTACTGTACATGACTGTAGATGATAAAACTTCCTTGATCTGTGTTGATTTTGGTTCTAATCCACCGAATTGAAAAATGATAATAATCCTTTCATAACGGCGCCTTATCATGTTATCGAGACCTCTCAAAGCACTTTCCAGGGTATATTGTAAAGTGTAATGACTGTGTGTTTTCTGGGTGATTGAAGAATTTGAGGCCTTACTCACACAGACATGAACTGGTAGAGCTCAACATGAGGCTACCAGACTATTGGTTTGCCTAGTGAATAGATGAATTGTCCACTAAAGTCTACAATTACCGTGTTGTTGTACCTGTTGCATAAGGAAATAGCCAACTTTGCACATTAGGAATAGAAAGCTTTAAAGAAACACAGCAATATTTCAGTTAATACTCAAGATATTTGATAGTACATAGCTGAGGCTGGGGATTTTATTCAGGATTCATACAAATTCTGAATAAAATAGGTGTGTTTGATTCATCTTTGTTTTGTGAACTAAATCTTTCCTGACGATAAACACAGTGGCATGAAAACAGAGTTGACATTGGAGGCTGTTTCAGCAACCATACCTGTCCGAATATTCGCCAACGCAGCAAGACTCCCCATTTACTCTTGCCTCTTAGGCTTGGCACTCACGAAGCATAGTTTAACGCTAAACCAATTCAACGCAGTAATCTTGAATCTGGCTAAAAATAAATAAATCGCCTTCCTTTCTTAAGCCATGCAGGACTTTGGATCACTCAGTTCTGTGAAAATGCTGCATTTGGAAGTGCCAGACTTTACAGACAGATTAAATCTGCAACAGCCTCAAGGAAAGGGCCAAGTGAGGCAGAGCAGCAATGTTTATCTTGGATCTTGCAGATCCGTTTGAAAGCCATCAAAAATATGTCGCACAAAATCTCCCTGGTTTTGAATACATTTAATCTTGCAGAAAAGTAACAGGGTCACTTACATTCCTGGAGCTAAAGAAAAAGATTTGTGTTTTGCTGACTGAATGCAAATTTGAACAGTATGCTTTAATGCAATTAGAGAAACAGACCTCTTGATAGCTGCACCACATGCACACATTTCTGGGCAGTGTAAGATGTGCTGTATTTATTTAGTGGACTATATTGTAACAGACTGAGGAGGAGCTCTGGATAATATGCTCAATGATGTGCTGACGTTATTGTTTGGCCTTCAATGTAATATTTCTGAATTAGTTTCTCATCAATATTGGAAAGATTATCTAAAGGTTTGTGCTGTGCCAGATCTGTCATCTGTTGAGGCCTAAACATCCAGCCATTGTCAAAATGTCAGGATGGGAGTGGCCTTTTCAGAGCACATTACTCCAGGAACATTACTCCCTCTGGATATTGAGCAACTTTACATAGTTTGTGACTTAAGACGTAGAGTCAATAACAACTTTCAACTTCAAAAGGGAATTAGATAGGTACTTCAAAAGGAAAAAAATTGCAAGAATATGGGGAAAGAGCGGGGGTGTGGGACTGATTGGGTAGCTCTTCCAAAGAGCCGGCATAGGCACGATGGGCCAAATGGCCTCCTTCTGTACTGTAATGTTCTATGATTCTGTTTAAGGAAATGAAGGTCTGTAAAATGATTCATTGTTCAGGCAGCTGAGGTAGAGTTAGATGCTGACAGTGCCCCCAGCAGTCACAGAAACAGTGTCTACAACACGAAGATTCATTTTACATCAAGTTAAGTACTCAAACCTTTGTTAGCATTTGCCTCTTTATATAAAAAATTGCAATATCATGGCTATTTTTTAAGAACTGTTACTAGCATTTTCAGCATGAAGCGTTGATAAGGCTTTTGTTGTACAATAAGAGAAGGAAGGTACAGCAACACCCCATTTGAACTGTCTATTTTGGCAAAGGTCACAGCTAACCATGAGACATCCAAGTGCTACACCGGCTGCAGACAGCTCAGAGAGAGCCAACAAGTCACTGAGAGATAGTTATTGAATGTAGGCTGGAGATAAGATTAGATACTTTAAAATGTACCTTTGGATTCTGAAATTATATTGAGTAACATAAATATTGGGTAATAGTACTGCATCCAGGAGCTCCCAGGTGTTTTCAATTCCTGTTATGCTACTTTCTTATGTGTTTGATTGTACCATCCACAGCTAAGAAGCCAAATAAGTGCACCTGTGAAATGCATCAAGAGTAGTCGGAGGTTGACCCACTTACTAACTTATCCAATTTGCCTTTCATTGTGGGGAAAGTGCCTTGTTCAGCTAGCCACCTGACTGATGACTCAATTGAAGTGGACAGCTCAGAGTTTGGAGAAATCGCACATGAAGCGGATCTAATCACTATACAGTGTTGGCATACCTTCCCAGCTTCCTTGTTTCCTACAGAAGTGCATTACTGTGAAGGAGAGAACATAATGGTATGAGGATACCCCATAAGGGTTGGTGCGGAGTTCAGATGCTGAGTAAATGACCCACATTGAACCTCATGCTAAAAATGGGCAGACAGATGTTATCCCATCACTCCCCAATCCTTACTTCCAATATGGAGATTAATAAATACAGAGTAGAATCAATGTGCCATTTCTGATTTCCAGAAAGATTCTATAAACATTAACGGACACGGTTTATAAAGTATTGGAAGAAAATGTAAGTTAGGAGGCAACTTTAAACAATGTTAAAAAATTGACCTTTCAAGATATAACTGGAGTTAATCCATAATTGCCTTGAATTTGATCAATGGTTCAGTTGGTGGTGTTTAAAAACATTTTGGCTCCAATCCGGTAACTTTGATTGTAAATTTTGAGACAACTGTAACCATTTATTTCTTTATCATGTAGTGTCTACAGTGGTGGAAGTTCCCAAAGTTATCAACGTTTTTATTCCGGAGCAACCTTCACATTTTCTTCATCAGCTGGGATATGTCTTGGCCACAATCCTCCTCCTGGCCATCCTGATAACCATTATCGCATTGGTCACCCGCAGACGGAAAAAGAGAGGTGAGTCTGCGTATTTATTGATTTATTCTGTGAGTCACCTTGAATGTGTCCTACCATGTCCTTGTAATCTGTTCCAGTCTTTTAGTATCCTTTGGGTAAAGAAATACCTCTGGTGTCTGTCCTAAAATTGTCCTTTGCTACCCTAAACCTTTAAGCGCTGGCGGATGCTACTCTGGGTGAAGAGAGCTGTATAAATGCAAGTTGTTGTTAGAAACTTTGTCCTTTGTCCTTTTATTTTGTTATCTTGGCACCCTCCCAAATTATTATTCTCGTCTATGTTCTTTTCTTTGTTGTTCTTTGTCTATATGGAGCTCTTCAGTCTTGAAAGGAAATACAATACAAGCATCTAATATAGTGCCTTTCAAATTGGGAAGGATGTACCAATGTGTTTAATGTTTCAGAGGGGACCTTATAGAGGAATATATGATTTTAGATGAGGCTGAGAAAGTAAACTCAGAACAAGATTTTTGGTCCTGCTATTTAGTTGCCAAACACTGCTGACATGTACACTCCTTTGTTTTTTGGCTCACTGCTGTGTACTTTTCTTTCAGGTCTTCAATATAATGTGAAGAAATCCCAACCGTAAGTATTGCTTGCACACTCTGTCTCTGCTGACTGAGCACTCACTAATGCTTTGGAAAGTCAATGACCAAATTGTATTGCATGATAATGACCTGGTAGCACAGCATTCAACCACAGCACTAAGCTCTGCAGAGGGACATATATAGGATCTATCAGCATTCTATCTTGGTGCAAGAGTTTACACAGAGTATGCAGCCTAATAAACCAAGGCTGTCTCTATCTGATCTGTGACCGAGGGCTGCAACAGACCAGTACCCTGTTTTTTCAGCTAGAAGTAGTTTTAAATCTAGCCCAGTCCCCAAACAGAAGCCCTGGATGGATGTTGGTGTCTTCACTCTTCAGATTCTCAGTCGCCTGTGCTTTAATCCTCTCAATCCTAATATCAGCAAAATCTAAGATTTGAATAAATAAATTGTTTAAAAAAAAGGCTGGATGATACTATCAGTTAAAATGCTTCCTTTCATCTGCGGGATCAGGTTTGCATCCAGCCTAGGCTGCTGGGATCAAAACTCCACATTCCTCACATTTCTGTAGATTAAATTGACCCCTTCAGAAATCACCTGCCAGTTTAATTTAACATTGCTCCTTGTGAAGTAATTTAGTACATTGTTGTAGATTATAGTAGGGCTGAGCCTTCAGATCCTACATTCCTAACCTCTGGAACTCCCTTCCTCTAACCTGCATCTCAGCCCCTCTATTTAAAGTCCCACCTCAAAACCTACCTCTTCAAAGCACCTAGGGAAAATGCTGAGACATTACCCTATGTGAAGGGTACTATACAAATGGAAGTTGTTGTTGATAAAAATTTTGAAAGAAAGCAGCAGTAAATGAGCATGAATAATGTTTATCAGGCTTCTCATTGACTCTGAACTCTTCCCCCCCCCCACCCATCAGCAGAATAGAGGTGAACCTCAATGACTTTGTGCTCGATACAACTGACATCAAACCAAACAAAAATGATGATATAAAGTTGGGTACATGCGATATTGGTAAGCTTTCCTGATTTGTTTTGCCCATTTACTCTTTTCTGAATATCTCAAAGGTCCTAACTCAAGCTGGGCTACAGTTGCACAGAACCTGGTGCCCTCTGGTGCCTTACCCAAGTGACAGTTCTGCAGATGAGACTAGATGTTTAATATCAGTAGCTTATTTATTAAACTGTGGTTAGACAAACTTGATCCTGCCCTTACACATCCACACGCATGCACTTTCGTGCACCGGCTATCAGGGAGCAATTAGGAGTACCAGCTCCACCAATGTGACCACTGCTCACTCCGGTCAGCAAGCACCGGCATGCATTATTTCCCCAGCAGATCCATCCTACCATCACTGAGTGAGCTCTCACCCATCCTGTAATTGTTATTGTTGTATTTTAAGAATAGAAGGTTTGGGGGAGAAGAGATCTGTGTGAAATGTATTATTATTTAATGAGAATTCCTCATTAACAGTTCCCTCTTTTTTTGGGACATTGCTGTGCGCAATTGGCTGCCGCGTTCGCCCACAAATATACAGTCAATTCACTTTACAGTGTGTTCTGTGAAGCGCTTTGGGATGTCCTCCCGACGTGAAAAGCGCTATATCAAATGCAAGGATTATTATTATTATTATTACCTCCTTCCTCCCCCACATTCAAAGTGTGCCTTAAGAGCTTTCCAAACAAACATCCAGCCAGCTTTTCCCTCCTAACCAGATTATTAGAAGATGTTAGATTAGAAGATCAGTCATGATTGAATGGCGGTGCAGGCTCGAAGGGCCGAATGGCCTACTCCTGCTCCTACATGTTGTTATGTTAACCGGCTCTCCTCAGCTCCCCTCATCTTGTGCTTGTGAAGCACTGTGAGACAATCTCCCAAAGACACTATAAAAATGTAATTGTTATTGTTGTATTTTAAGAATAGAAGGTTTGGGGGAGAAGAGATCTGTGTGAAATGTATTATTATTTAATGAGAATTCCTCATTAACAGTTCCCTCTTTTTTTCTTGCAGACTATAAGAACAACATCCTAAAAGAGAAGATTGCATTGTCCAAAGAGAAAGTGGAACTGATCAGAGAGCTTCCACCGAAGAACATAGATAAAGGTACCCAAACTACAGATGAGTTTTAATCCTTTAAAATTTCCATTTCACCTAATCAATTAATTTTTTTCCTGATGACATCTATCTATCTGGCTTTCACCGGGCCAATGGGGAAACATATCTTCCCTGAGCCTCACACCTAGCAGCATAGAAAAATGGATGAGTATCAGTTTGCCTGAGACAGTAAGCAGATTTAATGATTACCACTGCTGGCTGTAAAAAGTCGAAATGTGTTCCCTTTTCCAATACAATTACAAAAGTGAGCAAGAATTGTTTATAACATTCCTTCCTTCTTGACATTGATTCCCTCCCTCCCCACGTTAGCCCCAAGGCTCAATGTCCGACTACTCCTTCCGACACATTATCTTACATGTAAGGCGCTGTATAGCTGCAGACTCTTGTTGATTTGAAAATATTATGAGGCCGTGAGACCCATTTGGAGAATAGAGATGGAAATAGTGTAGGTATGTAACAGCATTGATAACCATGGCAAACTATGGTTTAACTTAGGAGACAGCAGAAGCAGAGGTGACTGACAGTTTACAACTGATGAAGCATTAGGGATGGACTGGTTAACATTGACATCACTGGCTTCAAGTTAGCTTGGAGAGAAACTGGCAAAGAGGCAGAACAAGTTGTCACTGATAGGCACTGATTAATGCAAAAATAACGTATTGCTAAATGATATCTACAGTATTTTGCAGTTGGTTTAAGGATGGGTATGGTATGAATTCCAACGAGGAGAGACTTTGTTTGTATACTAATCTGTTGTTTTGTCTTTTCCCCAGATTTTGAGAAGAAATATTGGAAATAAAGAGTATGAAGCTACTGGCTGGATCCAGAAGCTAATCAGTGAAGGATCAATAAATAATAGAAAGTCCACTGGCTTATATCAAAATCCTTCAATAATACAGCGCTTAATGAAAAGTATATGTATTAATGTACTATCACAAACATACACAGAGGCTGTTTGGCAAATTGTACAGATGTACAATCTTGGGTGATTTTCATTTATCAGCAGTTTTGTTTCATTAGAAAGTTTGACTTGATGAGGGAGGGCACCAATACCAATGTTTTCTGATATTGATCATCAGAAGGGCAGCAGTGAGCACTCAGCTGTAGACTGAGGATTGTAAATCTGTAGATTGGCATTCGCATGTGCTAGAGGTTTGCAAGTAGTGCAAGTGATTTTAGCTCCACAAACAAGGGGTTAATGCCTGTTTGCGAGACCATTTCAAAGCGTTTGAATGGAGTGTTATCTGAATTGAAGGAAAAGGTCACTCAAATAGTTTGTAAAACCAGAGCTGAAAATACCACCTGTTAGCTAGCAAGAGTCAAATTATTACCCAGCTTTGTTGAAACATTTAAATAACATCAGTGTCATTAGTTCTGGTCCTCCAGTGCATCTTTCCCTCACTCAGATCCTGCAGCTCCATCAGATCTCCCAGGGCATCTACCTCTCCCTCCCTCACATTCTCCACTGTGTGTATGTGGACCACTTACGTGTCTATCCGTCTCTGTGATTTTCCATTGATTCTCTAACCCTTCCTGTGTGATTGTCCACTGTGTCTTATCCAATCCTTCACTATGCATGTCCTCTGTCTCTGATCCTTCATTGTTTTCCAACTGCATATCATCCTCACAATGTTCCTCTTCTGAATAAGGTAAATCTTATTCTGTTTAGAATTAATTTTCTTTGGTTAGAGTTCAAATAACACCTTTTGGAAGTGAAAAATCCTGCTTGATAACCAGTGGGTATTTTAAAATACATCTCCAGCCCCATGTAAAACATTTCATTACTCCCTGTGTTTTTCCCCAAGAAATTGTGATAATTGTGATGGTTCGACAGAAAGATTCTTAGGATTATCTTAGACAAATTTGTCAGAAAAGAAAACAGGATTACTGGTGTGCCATAATGCTGAAATTATTGATCTATTTGTAATGCAATTAAAAATGTTGATCCAGTGATAATATAAAATATACTGTGATATTGCTTGAATCAAATCACTTTGCAGTTGTCCAAAAAAGCACTGGATTCAGCAAATTCCTGTCTTATGGTTGAATTTGCTTTGGACAATGTTGTATCTATGGCCTCATCATAACTGACAAGTCACTGACCCCAAGATCATGTGTCAGGTGTATTGTGTTGCAACAGACACTGGAAAGGCACAGGAAGGGGCAGGACTATTAGATTGTTATTTACAGTCTGAGCATTATGCATGAGCAAGTGTGATCCTCTTGAACAGCACTGACACATAAACATAGCAGGTGGCATCCAAGTAACCACTTAGCAGGGCATCACTCACTTTTCATCATAAGTTCAATTTTCTTTTCCTCCACAGGACAACACAAGTTTTCTTATACAAGTGACAGTAAAATATGACATATGATTGAGATTAACGGTTTCGATGTTTCTCCTTTCATTCTATTTTGTCTATCTTATCAAGGGAGCATAATCTTAAAATTAGAGCTAGGCCATTTAGGGGTGAAATCAGAAGGCAATTTTCACCCAAAGGGTAGTGGAAATCTGGAACTCTCTCCCCGAAAAGGCTGTGGATGCTGGCTCCAATCAAATTTTCAAGACTGAGGTGAATAAATATTTGTTAGGTATGGGTATCAAGGGATATGGGGCAAGGGCGGGTAATTGGAGTTGAGGTACAGATCATCCATGATCTTATAGAATGGTGGAAGAGGCTTGAGTGGCTGAATGTCCTACTCCTGTTCCTATGTTCCTATCTTATCAATCTACCTTATCTATTTATCCTATCCACCTATACATCTATCCAATTATACTGTATCTATTCTATCTAATAAAAGTAATGATAGCAGGTTCCACCAATATCCCCATCGCACGCATAGAAAGTTCATGTTGATCTGCAGATATTGATCTTGGTATTGGTGCCAACATACACTCTTCTCCATAATCCTATTAGCCGCAGTTATTTTACAGTCAGTGATGTCTATGTAGATCTGTAATGAGCTAGTATGAGTAGGATAAAGTTCGCTATTATGTCAAATATAGACAGTAAGATGCTTGCGTGGTGGCTTCCAAGATCCAGGTTCAACCAGACCCAAACCTAAGTCCCCTTCCCCTACTATACGTATGTAGTCATTCAGGATGATTCATCCTATGGTTTTGGCCTGAGGCCACAAACAGTAGTCCAAGAAAGAAGCCTAGGTTTGGAAAGGAATCCTGAAAGTAAATGCAGTATAATCTCTGCAGACAAGACAGTTTTCCATGTCACCTGAAGCCACATGATTGGGATAACAAGCAGTGCAGAATATCATAGAAAAAAAATTTGAATATCATTATTCAAATAATGAGGATTGACTGTATTTCGTATCACACGTTTTGAGTACAACATCTCCATCAGGCCACTTATTACTTTAGGTAGGTTGACAGTCAAGAAATATAATACTTTTAAATTGTATTTGATCAGACATCAGTCATTAATGTTTAGGGGGCAGGGCTCATCTATTGCTCATTTTCACTGCATCAGGTGTTTCTATTTTTATTTTGGGGTGTGCTACGTCAGGAGATTTTTATAATACAATACTTGTGTCTAAAATGTTTTAGGAGAGCTAATTGTGCTGCTCTCTTTGTTATCAGTAAAACTAATCTATTGTACATTAAGCTGTTAGTTCTGCTTTGCATTCTGGCAGGTGCAATCATCGCTATTAGTGCATTCGGGCTGCTGTGTATGATTGCAAGGACTTCTCTGTCCCTGCACCAGAAAATAACCTATGTATTTCTAAAAAACCTCTTTATAGCTAAACGGAAATGGTGTCTCTTTAAGAAAGCAAGTACCACTTTAAAACTTGGGGAATTAGTGCCTGCTCACCAGCCAATCAAATCACATTATTAGGATAAAGTATCTGCTAATCTGGAGTGCATTATAGTGTATACAATACGTGTATGCTGGTCTGATACAGTTTTTCAATATGCTCTTATATGAGCCAGTGTTCATGAATTTAAATAAAATAACAAGTAAATATCTCCATTTGTCTCCNTTTTTCTTAATAATGAATCAAATACTTCCACTTGTTTGTAGGAAATATTAATTATTATAGTTTGCAGGTAGATAGATTTCTGCTACAAAATAATATCTTGGGATATAATATAATTTGGGACACAATATGTCAAGCGACTGCCAGGATGGTGGAAGGCGAACGAGATGAACTTTGGTCTTCTTTCACCTAGCAAATTATGTTCTTGCACTATCTGAATACAGAATGAGCTGAATGGTATACAGAGTATGTAGTCAGCGCTGTGAACGACCCTTGGCCAGGCCTCTGCTAGGGTGTGGGGAAAGTTTTATTACAGTTTCTCCCTGGTAAGTTCTTTCATTGCACCGATAGAACTGCAATTCATTCAAATATTTTCTCTCTGGCGGAGACACTGACCTGTACAAAGCCCATCTCACATCAACAAAAGCAGTAGGTGAAAATATTCTTTGGAGGGCCTGAGTGAAACTCAGCTAAAGGGTCGGTCCCTTTAAGACAGACGAAACCTCCGTGCCAGCATCATAGGAACATATAAAACAGGTACAGGAATAGGTCATTCAGCCCCTTGAGCCTGTTCTGCCATTCTATTAGATCATGGCTGATTTGTACCTCAACTCCAATGGGATCTACCATCTGCTGATCACCAAAAATAATCATCCTCTTTTAATAATGTAATAATAATCCTTGCATTTGATATAGTGCCTTATCACGTCTTCTAAAATTCTCAAAACACTTCCAGAAATACGCTGTAAAGTAAATTAACTTTGTGTTTTGTGGGTGAAACGCGGTAGCCAATTACGCACAGCAATATCCCACAAACAGTTGTGGATTAAGTGACCAAATTATTATTATTTTTTTGAAGGTCCTCTCACTTGCGAGGCGAGTGACTCTAACCACTACACTACAGGACTCCATTTTCTGAGGTGTAGTTTTCTAACAAAGGTAAATGTTACGGTAAATGAAAAGCTACTACAGTGCAGTATATGGAAAGATACCGTATCTCGTTAAGCTCACAGTGCTGACCCCTTGTGTCACCTCTGTGCAATGAGAATACAGTACTGGAAAACATTCAAACCACCAGCAGATGGCACTGTTTATATACAACAGAATGGAATTCAACCCTCTGCAGTGATAGAGCTTTAAGGCACACTATTTTTACATAAGAATTGTCTTTATATCTTTAATGCTGAATAATGGATCAGGAGGTGGAATTAAAATCGGAACTGTTCTGGGAGTGCACTGTCCTGTTGGAGGTGTGTCTAGACCTAGAGAAACTGAGATCCTGTCTGCCTGTTCATGTGGATGTTAAAGATCCTACTGCACGATTTGAAAAGAGTTTCCACTGGTTCTGGCCAACAACCTCCAGATAAAGCTGGTAATTCACTCCATGTTCCTCTGTGGGACATTGCTGTGCACAAATTGGCTGCCCTGTTTGCCTACAAAATAGTTTTATTACACTTTACTGAAAATCCTGTGAAGTGTTTTGAGATTTTGCAACAACATAAGAAAATTTTAAATATCGTGTTCAATTTGGGTCACCCAATCTTGGGAAGAATATACTAGTCTTAGAGGACTTCAGGTAACAATTCACCACTAGTGAAGGACTTTAGCTATAATGAGAGCCTGGGTAGACATTGGGTATTGGTTATATTGGTTGGAGCTCAGGCGGTTAAGAGGTGATTGATCTGCTTGAGGCATATAAAATACAAAAGGGAATTGACAAGCTAGATAGTAGACGACTCTTCTTTCTAGTTGAAGGATTGATAATAAGGATATACTGTATAATCCAAAAAATGTAGCTCGGACAATTAGCAGTGAGATCAAAAAACTATTCCTATTTTACAGTTGCCCTTTCCCACCAGATAGTTTGACTTTGGAGCTTTATAATGCATCTAATCTGTGTTGTAGCTGACCTAGGAATGCTAGATAGGACAGTGTAGTCTCAGAAACTTTACTCTTTATCTATCTTCGGTAGTTTGATGCATTTTCCCAGGTGAAAGGTGCTATATAAGTGGAAATTGCTGTTATTGTTTCCCTATCTTCTCCATTTGGTGTTCTGTGAAGTGGTATTGCCAATATCAGCCTCTATTGAGATTTTCCCATTACTATCATGGATCAGGAAAGTCACTGCACATAACGGCATTCAGATTATCAGCCCTTAGATGCTGATCCGAGAGAACTGCAATTCTTCGTACAGTAGACAACTTCTTGAGTTCAACTTTTTCCCTTGTTGCTACAATTAATAAATAACTGAATACATTGTGCAGCCTTTGCTGCAGATACCAGACTCAACAACAACTTGCACTTATATAGCACCCTCCACGCAGGATAGCGTCTCAGAGCGCTTAACAGTGGCGGAGCCTGACTCCGAGCCGGGGGAAGGTGGCTGTAAGCACGGTCGAACAGGAAAGTCTTTAGGTGAGACTTGAAAGAGTCTCAGTTTGACCTCAATTATTACAATATTTCACTCCAAAAATAAGCCATTCAGTTCTTATCTGTGGTCAGCCTCAATGTACTGCTAGAACAGCTGCTCAGTAAATCAGGAGAAACTATTCTTACCCTGGCCACCAGGTTTTAAACAGGACACTTCACTAATCCCAGTTGATATGACCTCACCACAGGTTAATAAACAGCCTTGATAATCTCGCTTCCAGCTGTTATTCAGACATGAAATGCAAACAAACAAATGGTCTCTTTCTTATGTAAAAGAATTAAAACTGTTGAATTTTATTCCAATGAAAAGCTGACATGAATAAAGAGAAGAGAAACACTTAATGGACTGTTTCATTTCCCAATGTGTACAATTAGTATTCCAATAATAGTACTTAACTCTACCATGTGCCACACCTACAATACCATTGAGGGAAAGTAGCAGATCTAAGTTCAGCCAGTGGGAACAGCCAACTGGCGTCCAACATCAAAAAATAAATGATTTGAACTAAAGCTTTTCAAACCACCTCCTAAAAATAGATTTCTGTGGCACTCTTATTAGAAACCAAAGTCACAACATGTATTTTTGATGTAAGCGCACAAAAAAATCATTACATAAATGTAGCTTTTTACTGCAAGTCTATGTGATCCACTGACCTATACATTGTATGAATAAGTAATATGCCGTGTCTACCAGAATATACCCTTGAAGTAAGCAATGTGTTAGCAGTTTCCAAAGTACCTGAACGTGCTTTCTGTCACATAACAATTGAGATCCTGATGTGGTGCAAATATTCTAAATACAATCAAATAGATACTTCTTATAGAATTGTGAAAGATTTAACTTAAAGTGCTCTGTATAATAAATTAATTCTACAATCCCTTGGAATGAGATATTAGGTCCTCTGTTGAGAGTTCAGTACTTCTCTGTTAAAGACACCACATTTTTCTTATTTCTGCAATGCCCAGAGCAACAACTTTACACCCGAGTTCAGATGGTGTTACATTGAAAGGGTTCTATCAGGAAACAAACTATTAAGTATCTATAATTCCTTAGTATCATAAAGTAAAGGCAATGTGGCTTTGGACGGTGAATTGGAGTTCAAATGCAGTGTGCAAGGATTTACAGAACACTCTGTCATTCTCGATCTACACCTGTTGAGTGTGCTCAGCAAAGCCCTTTAAAAAGAGGCAAAGGAAACTGGAGGCAGTTACTCTGGATACTTTGTAGAGGCAATGTATTTGTGACTAGGTATTAAGACCACCCTCTTGCCCCCACGATGACACAAAGCATTTGGAGATCCGACAAAAGTGCTGATAAAATTATATAAGAACCTGGAAATATGAAATACGATCAGAAAATGCTGGCAATGTGCACCAGGTCGTTCAGCATTTGATGAGAGAAGGTCAGGTTTATATTTTGGGCGTGAACATTTATCAACACTAAAAGTGATAAAATAGTATATACAGACACTGCTTATGAAAAACAAAGAGAAATACAGAAGAGATAACAATCTTGATTGAGCAAAATATCGATATTCTGATTGGACCGACAGAGTTCAATACAGAAAAAAATGCATGTATTGGATGTATTGTTACACTGTACAGCAGGAAGATTGAAATATAAAATGGGGTTAAATACACGGTGATGTCGAATGAAATTCCTAAATAAGGGTTCCAAACAGGGACTCCTTCCGATAATAATAATCCTTGCATTTGATATAGCGCTTTTCACGTCTTCTCGACGTCTCAAAGCGCTTCACAGAATATAATAATAATCCTTGCATTTGATATAGCGCTTTTCACGTCGGGAGGCCGTCCCAAAGTGCTTCACAGAACACACTGTAAAGTGAATTGACTGTATATTTGTGGGCGAAACGCGGCAGCCAATTGCACACAAACAGTCATGGATTGAAAATGACCAATTTATTATTGGTTTGGTTTTGGAGGGATTATTATTAGGCTCTGTGTGGAGTAAGGAAACTTGCCCGAGGTTTCGCCCTCTGCCTGAAACTGAATCCAGGTGTCATCCTAATGTTAGAAAAATATTTTTTTTGAGAGACAACGCATTCTTCCAAAACATCCACGAGTAATGTCCGGCGGTCGCGGTGCCAAGCCCTGTAACACGTGCAACGTTTCGGTTGACCGCTGCACGGTGGCACGCGATAACGTCGCCCGCTGAGACCGCGCGCGCGGGAGGGAGGGAGGGAGGGAGGGACCGGCTTGTGCCAAACCAGTGTGCGACTCCCGCTGTTCGGCCCTGTGTCTCCATTAGGGTGTGCTGTGGGGAATGACATTTTTCCAAACATTATACACACACACACACACACACATCTTTCCCACATCCATTAGCCAGTCAGAGACACAGTGAATTAGAAAGCAGAAGAGGGCCTGGCGATTAAGGGGGTGTGGGTGGGTGGGTGTGTGTGTGTGGGGGGGGGGGGGAAAGTGGGAGGGGGGGTTCTCTCTCATTTTGCCCCCTTTATCTCTATGGCTGAGACTAAAATTATCTACCACGTAGATGAAGAAGAGACTCCCTACCTGGTCAAGCTGCCAGTCCCGCCTGACAGGGTCACCCTAGCGGATTTCAAACATGTCCTCAACAACAGGCCTACAACCTGCTACAAATTCTTCTTCAAATCCATGGACGACGACTTCGGGTGAGTCTTCTCTTTTTTTTTGTTGCCCCCTCCTCTCCTCTCCTCTCCCCCCTCCTTCTCCTCTCCTCTCCCCCTTTTCCTTATCTCTTTTATTTATTTTTCTACCTCAATCTCGGAGCCAACACGACTGGGGGGGGGTTCGTGTCCGTGTGTCTGTCTGTCTGTGTGTGGTGGTGTGTGTCAGGAAGCCCGACGTTTGGGACAAGATGTCAGGGACAGAGACAGACAGACAGAGAGAGAGAGAGAGAGAGAGCACTCGGGAATTTTACAGTCTTTTTTTTGGGGGGGGGGGGGGGTTTAAATCGATTTTTGTTGTTATCGTCGGAATATTTTTTATAATAAAGAAACGCTCCGCTGAAAGACGTCGCTCGGGGATAGGTTCACCTTCTGAAGAAAGCGAACTGTGCGCTCTGCGTGTGTGTGTGTGTATATATATATATAATATATAAATATATATAAAGATAGAGAGAGAGATGTGTGTGGTCTCCCTCTCACGGTGACATATCCTGAATATTTTCTCGACCCTCGTAAAGTGCTGCTCAGCCCCAGTCACCGGCCGTGTGTGTGTGTCTGTGCTCACTAACAGGTGGGGAAGGGAGTACGGGCTTCAGGTGGGAACTTGTGGACGGCTGCCGAGCCCTCCCTCCCTCCCCTCAAAAAAAAGCCGTTAAACGGTCAGTCGCGAGGGTTTAAACGGTCGCCGGGCAGCCGTTTGTTTTTGAAAAGAAGAACCGCCCCCCCCCTCCGCACGGGCGGCCAAGGCTGTCTCGCGCCCGCTCTCCCTGCCCCTCAGGTGCGCTCAGCGGCCGCGAGCTCGGCACACGGGCCCCGGGCACTGGCCCCAGGGCTGCGGCTTGTGGCGCGGCGGCGGCGGCGGCTGCGGTTTGCGGCGAGGGTTGCGGTGCGGTGGGGGGCGGAGGCCGCTGACAGGCCGCGCATCAGCTGGATACGGACTAAGATGGCGGGCGGGCAAGTGCCCAGTGGCCCAGGGCGACGCCGGGTGGGCCCCTGCGGGCGGGAGGGGCGGGAGGGCGGCCCGTGGTGCAGGCCGTTGGGGGGTGAAGTTGCCGGGGGCTGACAGTGCGGGCGGAGGCCGGTGACACGCAAACCCACGCCCCTGTCTGTCAGCCCCCGTCCCCACCGCTGCAACACGCAGGTAAATTGCACCGTCCCGGAGCCACCGCTCCCCCCGCAAAGGGCGGGGACGACGCCTCGCGAAAAAAATAACAACACATACTGTAGACACGAAGTGAAACCCACTCCACGGTATATCCTTTGAGAAGCGCCTCGGGACGTCCTCCCGACGTGAAAGGCGCTCTATAAATGGAATCTTGTTGTTGTTGTTGTTGTTGAGGTGTCACAGCCCCGCGATAAGGCTCCATACCAAATGCAAGGAGGGGGTATTATGATTGATTGATTGATTGATTGATTGATTGATTGATTGATTGATTGATTGATTGATTAAGGGGACAAGCGGAGACACTGCTGAAAGAGCCATGGCGTTGGTGAGGAGAGCGCGGCCAGGCCAGGCCAGGAGCTCAGCTCAGGGTGACAGTCCAGGTGCCCTGTGCAGGTGGGCACCGCCCAAAGCTGAGGCAGCTTCAACTGAATGGCTCAGCTTCAACCCACCACTTACACCAGGAGTGAGACAGTCACTGGGATAGCCATAATAATAATAATAATCATAACAATGATAGACACAATTATTAGATTTCTTTGCCACCTAAACCGCTCAAAAACATCCTCACCGATACTGTATTTGTAAGATTGATCGTTATAGAATGGAGGAACAGGTTCAAGGGGATGAACGTCTGTCTGCTCCTGCTCCTATGTTCACAGACTTGAACCCACGTCCGTCTGACTCAGAGACGAGAGTGCTACCAACCGAAACAGGCTGATAAATTTTAATCGTTGCCACGCAGAACTAATGAAGTACAACTATCACTCTTCCAAACTAACCGCAGTACTTCTGAGCTATCCAAGTGAATAGCAGTTTGTGACATAGTGATATTTGTAACACAAATCCACAATGCGAAACTCCAGAGGGCTGTCTGCCTTGGCCAGACTCAGTCCGTCAGAGATGTAATTATTTAGTGCAATTAAATTTAATTGGGATGTTAGTAAATGAGATAAGTATTTATTGCTAGTTTCCTTACTCCACACCCTGTTCATCTTAGCAGTAAGTAGGAACCTGCTTGTTAGTCAATTGGCGGATCGCTTTCCGAGGCTAATAATCCCTCCAAAAAATAATAATAATAGTTTGGTCATTCAATCCAAGATTGTTTGTGGGACTCTGCTGTGCGCAATTGGCTGCTGCTTTTCGCCCACAAAACACATATCCTATGAAACACTTTGAGACACCTTATCAACGATGTGATAAGGCTTTATATCAAATGCAAGGATTAGTATTATTAAGCCTTTGGAATTGCGATGGAAGCTGCGGTCTCCCTATGGAGAGGTGTCATGCGTAGGTGTTCCAACATGCTGCCATAGCGATCCCCCCCCCCCCATCCTATAGTCTTTCAATCACATTATTTAAAAAAAACTTAATGGTAATTCTGAGAACCAATCCGATGGAGCAGTGCTCCAGTTTTCAACTGCTGTTGTTTCTCTTCTGGGATAATCGACCTTTATACGAATTGTTCTAATTTTAGAGGCTTTGTGTTAAATTATTGATGTGCTACAAGCAGAATTGTGCTCTCTCTGCAGCTTCTTCCAAAGGCTGCATTAATCGGGACAAAATATTTGGAAGCTGGCCTAAAGGCAGAGCTGGTTATCAACTACTGAGTGGAAGAACTCAACATTTAAAACCAAAAAGAAATAAACTCCGTGGTAAAGTGTAATTGAGGAATGTTGGTCTAGGGAAAGGCGTACCAGTGGAGTGGGCATACAGCTTCTGTCCACTGCATCTCTGATCTCAACTTTGTTGTTCAGGGAGTCTTCAGCAGAGGCTAAGGAGATAGCAGAATCTACGTCCCTCCTCAGCAATGATGTGTCCAGGGGAAAGATATATATATATATAATATATATCAAAACATATCCAGCTCAGTCTTAAAAATTCTGTTCATTCTGTGTTTGTATTGAAGGTTGGAGTAGGATGTGGAGTGTATTAAGTAAATTTTCTTAGATTGAAAAATAAATTAAAATTATGGGAATTGCAGTGCTTTGTGCCAGAGTCAACATACATTAGGTCTGTTGTTTGTAAACCGTGTATATATATTTTTTAACAACAAATTACATTTGTATAGCGCCTTTCACATCAGGAGGACGTCCCAAGGCGCTGGACAGTCAGGGAAGCTCTCATACCTTCACTATTGTTGTCCTGACTACCAACTGGCCTGCTAACACTTTCGGGCACTCGTTCCTCTGCCCTGGCTAACATACATGTTACTCCACCCTGCTAACAAGCAATATGTTAGTGTTGCACGTATTGTATCTGCTGTGACAGATTTGGAACATGTACATATTTAAAAGCTCTGTTGGGATGCCTGTTAGAAATCAAGTGGAGAACTGCAGCTTAATGATTAGGACACTTGCCTCGCAAGGAACAGGACCTGGGTTTGATTCCCGGGCAGGGCGAAACCGTAGGCAAGTTTCCTTACTCCACACGCCTCTGTTTACCGAGATGTAAGTAGGAACCTGGTTGTGATTTGATTGATGGATCGATTTTCTGGAAGTAATAATCCCTTTTTTTAAAAAAAAATTGGGTCACACAATCCACGACTATTTGTGGGATACTGCTGTGCGTAATTAGTTGCCGTGTTTTGCCCACAAAATATAGTCAATTCAAATGCGCTATATCAATGCAAGCATTATTATTAAAGATTATTATTATTAAGTGTCCCATAGACTATTTCAGTATGAGACAGAGTTGCAGGATACTGACCACAGCAACTCATTTATGACGTACTTTGAGATATATTCTTGATTGATCCACCCCCAAAAGGAGCTGTAATGTAGGTACTCTGTTAGAAAACCTAGTTACAGCCATTTTAGAAAGTGAATAATACTTGTTTGGAGCCGCAATGTACAATTGATTTATCTGGAAATGCCTTGTATGGATAGCTTCAGCAGTCAATTCTGCAGTGGTAATGTGTGTCAACAGCACAGGAACCTAGAGATGCAGGCACCTGTCTCCAGGAATGAATTGAAAAGATGGCTATAAATCTACCAAATGCACCGAATATGTCAGCAGTTTTTAAGCTTGTAAAGTGGAATTTATCGTTCACTACTCCTTGTTGGGGTTGTAGTTAACCTTGTAAGCAAGTAACATACAGGCCATGAATGCCCTGGCTGGGGGAATTCATTGCACTTTGCGTGTTCCAACATTTCATACATTGTGACTGCAGGTAGCATGAGGGCAACTGCAGTGTTGTATCTCTGGTACTATTTACTCTTGTATTCTCATTCCGAATGTGAGGAGCAGTTCTGATAATAATACTAATAATCCTTGCATTTGACATAGCTCGTTATCACGTCTTCGAGACATCCCAAAGCACTTCACAGAATATATTGTAAAGTGAATTGACTGTATATTTTATGGGCAAATTGCGGCAGCCAATTGCACACAGCAGTGTCCCACAAACAGTCGTGGATTGAGTGAACAATTTTTTTTTGAAGGAAATACCTTACTCTGTCGAGCGCCTTGGGACGTCCTCCCGACGTGAAAGGCGCTATACAAATGTAATCTTGTTGTTGTTATTATCCCTGGAAAAGTGATCCGCCATTCGACTAAAAAACAGGTTCCTACTTACTGCTAGGTAAACAGAGGCGAATGGAGTAAGGAAACTTGTCCAACGTCTTACGCTGCCTGGGACTCGAACATAGGTTCTCACGCTTTCGAGAAGAGTGCTCTAATTCTTTGGCTCTGGAACTCCCTTCCTCACTCCCTTCGCCTCGCCCCCCTCTCTTCCTACTTTCAGATCTCGGCTAAAGACCTCTCTTTTCAATCGCACCTTTGGTCACCTTCTTCCCCCTCGGCCCCGGGATCCGTTATTGTGAAGTGCTCTGAGATGCCTTCTGGCATGGAGGGCGCTATATAAATCCAAGTTGTTTTTGTCTAACCACTAAGCTATAGGACTCCACAAATCACTATAGAGCTAGGGAAGGAAGGAGCTTGGCCACAGGCACACAAAATGGGTGGGATATTGGGGGTATGTTGCTCCCTTATAGACAGTCTACCAGCATCCCATGTACCCGGTGGAACATGACTTTTCATACTCATTTGGTGTGGAGACACCTTCTCCGTTCATTCCTAAAGACTGCTGTGAAACTTAACATCCCCGACTTCAGCACCATCTTTTGGTCTGAAGCCTGATTTTAAACAAAGTTAGGCACTATCTTGAACATGTACACGACAGGAAAGTTTTCCGCATCTGCAGTTTCTCTCTGACTGAACATGTGGCTTTAGTGCACTTCTTTACACAGTCATCCGTCTGCCCCCATTTACAACAAACCTGTGGACCGTGTAGTGGCAAGTCACTACCTGGAAGGACATTCCTCTTTAAAACAAACCTTAGCATTCTATGGCATACGCTCATTAAGAGAGAGTTTCCAGCTCTTTGCCTGGCTCAGATTGCAGTTGTATAACTTCCGTATTATAGATAGATGGGTTCATAATATCATCCTGCTTTCCTGACTTGTGCTTCGATTTAATGGTGGCAAACTTTTTTTTGCAGAGTCGTGAAGGAAGAGATTTCAGACGACAATGCCAGGTTACCGTGCTTCAATGGGAGAGTGGTTTCCTGGGTGAGTATAAATGTGAGATTGCTGCCCTCAGCAGCGTGTGGGAAAATGCATTTCAGGCACTGAGCTTTGAGGCTGTAACCCAGTTCAAGGTTTTATTTCATGGCATGAGTTTGACCCTTGTATTTCTCTCTTTTGGCTGGCTGGTTTCCTTTCATCTCACACCAATCTCTTAGAAGACTTCCAGTTTACTGGCAATGTGGTTGTGCGACTTAACAGTAGAAGCTGTGTGAGAGTCGCCTGGAAGACGTGCCTGGCACCCACTCACTGTTTATTTGCGGTGCGAAGATTCTGCCGGGGAACAGTATCTGCAGAATCATCTGCAATTCCAAAACCCACTGTTGTGCATATAGCACAGCAGTGGAACCTTGAGCATGTGAGCAATTAGGATTGTCCCCTAAACTAAGCTTTATCCCTCTACCAAAGTAGACAGCAATAGTGATGCTTTAACTTGTCTGACCTGAGCATTGCCATTGGTGCGGTAATGACTCAAGCTGAGTTTAACACTGATAGGTCTGTCAGGCGTGGATTTATTGGGTTGTCTGACCTGATGAGTTGATCGCTATAAAGATCTCTGAAGACGTAAATAATGCTGAAACAATGCATCTCTGGGGAGTGCAATTTAATTAGGTGGCTTTTGCACAGATTAATGATTTGCCTGAGGACTCAACACTGTCCAAATCAGTTTGTGAAAATAAAGAGTCTTTTTTTCTTAGTTGGTACAAGGGGAAGGAGCATGCACTATTCACCATCCTTGAAGTGTAGCCAGTCACCAACTGCTGCGTGTGGCTGAATCACCCTCGTATTGCCCTCCTTTTTAGTGTGATGAGTGCTGCCCTGACTAATTAATCGTGATGTAGTGCTTGTCTGCATTCACAGCCAGAGCTGCTGATCAGCCTGTTCTGTTGTATTGTCTGTGGTATATGTCTGATTTACAGAACTTGGGAATAGTGATATCACATTGTTAAACTTTTCGCAACAACATCTCGCTTTCATGCCTTTTCCATTCATTGAATGTCTCAAAGTGCAGCAAGCAATCCTTCAGGGAGTATTGTGACATGTACTGGATACCTTTGAGAGTCAGTCTCCACAATACCTTTGCTTAGCCCCTGGCTAAGAACAGTAAGACTATCCCTGGATTTTGTCGGTTGTTCACATGTCAGCTTACAAGTTGAGATTCGACAAGTTATTTGACTGAGTGCATCACTGCTGAGTCTGGTCCTGACTTCTATGGGAGACCACAGATACACCTTCTCCAACAATGGTTGCTAACAGGGAACCCTGGCTGATTTTCCCCTCCCTAACCTAGAAGCATTAAGTCTCCCGGCTATTGCTTGTGATGGGAATGCTGAAACTGCAATGCTGTACTTTGGCCCAGCAGCTCTGCTTATTGCAGTCTGAGCTTGAGTCATCGTTGGAGCTGACCTTTGTTCAGATATCCTGTGGTCTCAGGCTGACTGCTCATAAACACTGCACAATAAGGGAGGAGACCTGAATATTCCCCCACCCACCCCCGAGTCCAGAGCGACAAGCCGATGATTGTCGGCTTTTCCATAACCTGCCCCTGCCCATTCCCCTCCATTACGGTCTGTATAACAACTTAGCACAGCAAAACAGCACAAATCATTTCAGTCACAGCAGTTTTAGTGGACAAGAATGTGGAAATGAATCTTCTGCTTGCTGCCTGACTACCAGCAGTCCGGGCTTGTGAGCCGAGGAGCCCTGCCACTGCCATCTGGCGTCACTGAGCTTTTACTACAGGCTGAGAAAGAAGGGTGCACTCAGGCAGTTGGCCACTGGTTCAGATGTTTATTAACGAGGTTTGTCACAGAGTATGGGGGAAAGAGAATGGCTGGCACTGTGTGTAGGCTGCTGCATTGAGACCTATTGTCGCTATTGTAAAATTACTGAATTAACATTGGTCTGTGTGTACAACAGAGGATGGCTATATGTGCCTATCACCTGATTTGGTTTGTTCTGTCACTTGTGATTCACAGCTGGTTTTGGCAGAAAGCTGTACCTCCGACGCGGGCTCACAGTGTGCTGAGAGCCAACTGGATTTGCCTCCCATTGAGCGGACAGGAGGCATCGGTCACTCAAGACCACCATCCTTTCAGTAAGACTTTACTCAGCAAGAATTTTACATATAGACTTTGTAAGATGGACAATTATAATAATCCTTTGATAATAATAATTTGATATAGTGCCTTATCACATCTTTGAGACGTCTTAAAGCGCTTCACAGAATATACTGTAAAGTGAATTGACTGTATATTTTGTGGGAGAAACATGGCAGCAGTGTCCTACAAGCAGTCGTTGATTTATTGACCAATTTTGTTTCAAGGGATTATTACCCCTCCCAGAAAAGCGATCCGCCAATTGTCTAACAACTGGGTTCCTACTTACTGCTAGGTAAACAGAAGCATGTGGAGTAAGAAAAGTTGCCCAACATTTCACCCTGCCCGTGAATCAAACCCGGGTCCGCCCGTTTGTGAGGCAAGAGCTCTAACCACTAAGCTGTTCAGAATTGGCTCGGGATGGACTCCAGTTCTCCTGGTAGCTGGTTACAGAATGGCCCTGACACAGAGAGAGTGAGAGGGAGCAGCCACAATCTCAGTACAGCTTGGTCCTGGCAGAGAAAGAGAGCGAGAGAGAGTGGGGGAGAGAGAATTGGCACATGCCTGGAATGTCCTGTGTTCAAGTACAGTTTCAATCAATGTTTAGATAGGGCAATACCCAACTATTACATCGTCGGTGCAGAATCACCAGGGGCTTGTTTCTGGAGGATTGACGGAGGCTTCCAGTGAAATGAATGTGTCTGACATAACAGTCAGTGATCAGAAATCAACCCCATTTCCATGCCCTGAGATCCAGCATTTTGTTTTTGGCTGCAATTTCCCGTCCTCAAAGGGCACAATATTTCAAATAAAAAAAGCTTAAAATATCTAGCCAGTTTCCTGGGCTGAGGAGTTCTGATACGTGTGGCTCAGCTGTACAAGGGTTGTGCTGGAAACTGCATCATAAATGCCTTGCGTTTCTTCCCCAGTGGCTCCATTCTACCCTGTTTCCTTCCTTTTTTTCCTCCAGGTTGCTACAGCAACCAGTGGCAGAAACGATCAGTGCTGATGAAGCTTGGCACAGAATACGAATGGATTCTGGCACAGGCACACACTCTTGCTTCCATTTAATTCATTAATTTACCTCGAAAAGAAATCGTGTATATTTCATGAGCCTCATCTTCAAAGCCAACTACACAAGTGGGCAGAGATTTTCATGGTTTTGTTTATAAGGTCGGGTGGCTACCACACAACTCTGTTAATCTCCAATCAGAGGCTGTGTGGTGAGCCTTTGTGTTGATAATTTATCTCCTGTAAAGACAGAGGTCAGGCTTGGGAACAGTATTATTGTCAAACACTTGCAGGTTAGCTACAGCACAGATATAGAGTAAAGCTCCCTCTATGCTATCCATAGAGTCCTGTAGCTTAGATGTTAGAACACTTGCCTCGCAAGTGAGAGGACCTGGGTTCGATTCCCGGGCAGGGCGAAACATTCGACAAGTTTCCTTACTCCACATGCCTGTGCACCTAGCAATAAGTAGGAACCCGATTGTTAATCGATTGGCGGGTTACTTTTCTGGGGGTAATAATCCCTTCAAGCATTATTATTATTACTATTATTATCCAGTTCCAGCACTCCAGGTCAGCTGCAGCACAAGGTTAGAAACAGAGTAAATGGCTCTCTTATAAAACCAATTAGTATAAAAATTACTACACTTCAAGAGCTAATAGATACATCAAATTGAAATACAGTATAATGCATGTTGCAGAGTCTGCAATCAGTTTGTGGCCTGTAACAGTCTCCTTGTACTCTGTTGATTTATTCTTTGTGTCACAGTGCAAACACCACTGGCAGTCGAGATGGCCTGGACAACGAAACAGCAACAGAATCTATTCTTAGCATCAGAAGGGATAGACATCGGCGGCGGATTAGAGAGAGGGAGGTACACCAGGACGGTGGTGAGTCATGTGGAGTACTAATGGTGAAAGTGAGATCTTCCTGGTCTGTATAGCTCTGTATCCCACCAGGTGGTATGTTTCTACCATGTGTCATTGGGCAATCCACAAGATTGGAACAGTACAGGTGCTTCAGTGCACAAACACAGATGAAAAGATTTTGTGTGTCGTGTAGACAGGGATATGAAGTTATCAAATAAAACTGTTTGCTTTTTCTCTCTGTTAAAAGTCATTAATCATGCAGTTCCAGTATGCTGCTGACAGCACTAATCGCTGAACAAAGCTGCAGAGTGCTGGCTGTCAGCAACACGGCTCAGCCTGAGAGAGTGCTTGACAGTCTAGGACAGTAACTAATGTAGTTGATGGAAAATAACGTGCACCTTACTGGAAGATTGCTATATCGTCCTCTCCTTATCCCATAAATGTAACTCTCTGCTGAAGACCTTTCTTTTCAACCGCGCCTTTGGTCACCTTCCCCCCCCCTCCCCGTGGCTCGGTGCCGGGATCCGAAACTGTAAGGCGCTCCGAGACGCCATCCGGTGTGGAGGGCGCTATATAAATCCAAATTGTTGTTGTTGTAACTGCTGTAAAGAGAGACACAATCTGTGTTTGGAGAGCGCCTGAAAAACTTAAAATATGCTTGATTAGCAAACTAAACTCAACTAAATAACACTTTCAGTTGCCAACAACTGTGTGCATGTCTGTGTGTACAGGTGTATGCATATGTGTGCAGAATAATAGATTAGTGTAAGTGTATGAAGCTGGTATGTGGCACATTAGGTGTTTAGGATCTTTCAGTGGGTCATTGTGCTTGTGTCACTATTTTGCTGTGAATGGTCTCAGCTCCCTCTGTCCTCTTCTTGTAAATCACTACTTGTCAGCCTAAGAATGCAAGAAGACAGACTATAGTATTTACAGAATCTGTTCAGACTTGCTTCAAGTATCAGCTCTGACTTCCTCAACGGATAACAGATATACATTGTTGAATCTTTTGGAAATAGGTTTCAGGTTAAATACAATACAACGCAAAATTACATTTGTACAATCCAACAACAACAACTTTTATTTATATAGTGCCCTTCAACCGGGGTAGCATCTCTGAGCGCTTAATAAAACACTTGAAATTGTTAAAATAAGACCTTAGAAATGTGGGCTGATTATCCAAATGTGTAGTTGGAGTAGCTGGTACTGGGAGCCTGTGTTGTATTATTGTGTAAAACATACAGTATCCTCCAGATGTGTACAGACATCAATGTGATACTTGACCCCTTAGATCAGTGGTGGCCAACCTTTATGGGTGCAAATGTTCGGGGGGCCATTTCTGGCTCGTGGGCCAAAGTTGGTCATTCCTAGCCACCACAGCCAGTTCTCTCAGCAACTCAGCCAAATAAAACCTGGAGTGAACAGATGGCACTGTCCTTGGTTTCAATCTTGGAGCGAAATCCTGTACGTTAGTTAACAGTTAATGAGCTTTGGGTTTGAGTATTATTTGCATGTTATATGTGTGTTTAGTGTAGAGGATGTCAGTTTTTCCCATGTGACGGTGCTGAGACGAATGGACTCTATTCTGCATTCTCACTTTTAGTTCTAACAAACAGCCCAAGGAATCAAATGCTGCTTGTCCAGTGAGCATGTGACTGCAAAGTGTGGGAGCAGCGAGCCAGTTTGGACCAGCGCTTCACTCTCAGCCTTTGCTTTCAGCAGTGAAGAGCAGCAAAGTCCTTGTCAAAGGAAAAGAGATTCCAGCAGAGCACAGCGGGTTCCAGATTAAACCACACACAGGATTGTGTTGTTCAGCCCTTGCACTTCAGTCAGAGAGTGGGAGGGGTGGTAACGAATTCTTGAGTGGGAGAGGAAAAAGCAAACAATGACAGGCTAATTTAGAGTCAGAATGAGCTAAGTTGCCTTCGCTGAGAGTGTGCTGTATAGAGAGACGCTCTAATGCCCACACTTAAATTCCTCGCTGGTTAGTTAGTTACTGTAAGGTCAGAGATCTCCCGAGGAGCTTAAACTCTATTACTTATAGTACAGACTGATCTCTTTAGTGAATAGTTGAACCATCACAATGTGCTCAGAAATATAACGATTAAAAAAAAATTTGAGTGTAAAATGTTGTGCTTTCTGGAAAGTAGATGAAATACAATATGTGCTTAAATGGTGGGGGCCTAGATTGAATACTCTTTAACTGAGTGAAGAATGTGAACTGCAGGCCTCAGGGCACACGAGTTCAACTCTTGCTTTATATCCCAGCTGTCAGCAGCTGAGCTACTTGCTTGTAAATAATAATGTTTACATTTGATTCATCAAAAGTCTCAAAGTGCTTCAAGATAATTGCTGTCAAGAGAGGTGACTGTGTGTCGGCAGACAAATGCAGCAGGCATGAAGTGGATAACTTGTTGGCAAGAACATCTGGAAAAATTCACTTTTTTCCTCACTCAGTATGAATGCTTGGAGTTTTGTTTGTGCCTTTGTAGATTAGTGGGATTAATGCCCTGTGCATGATGTGGCCTTAAATACTTAAATCTTTAACACTAGCAATTCCTGGCCTGACTCGATGTACAAGATTGTGGTTCATGCACGGGGTATGTCTCTGCACATACAGCAGCTGGTTGATTGATCTGTTCCCCAGGTTCTGGGAGCTATTTATTGGAGCTTGCAGTAGTGAGAAGTGATTTCTCATAAAGTGGAGTCCTGTAGCTCAGTGGTTAGAGCACTCGCTTTGCAAGTGAGAGACCTGAGTTCAATTCCAGGCAGAGGCCGAACCCTTGGGCAAGTTTCCTTACTCCACACAGAGCCTAATAATAATCTCTCCAAAACCAAAAACAATAATAAATTGGTCATTTTCAATCTACGACTGTTTGTGGGACATTGCTGTGCGCAATTGGCTGCCGCGTTCGCCCACAAATATACAGTCAATTCACTTTACAGTGTGTTCTGTGAAGCGCTTTAGGACGTTCTCCCGACGTGAAAAGCGTTATATCAAATGCAAGGATTATTATTATTATTATTAAAGCTTAAGGGTCGCTAAGTGTCCAGTGTCAGATGTAGAACAGAGTTCATCATTCAACATCAGAAGCTTTTACTGTAGAAAATCCAGAAAGTGGGAAGTACAGTAGAGAGATTTCCTTTCTGAAATCTGGAGACTCAAGGATTATGTTTTACACAAATTGTACTAAATTGAAAGTAAGCTTCATTTATTTCTCCTTTGAATTCCTTCTGACTTGTGTTGCAATAATTTCATTGGGCCTCACCTTGCCATGTCAGATTAGATAAAGTACGAATATATGAGAATGATTTACTATTTTTTAGGTAACCTTGCGCTGAGCTCTGTGAGCAGTTGGGGAATGCAGTGCTTTGTTGGCCAGGGTATAAGCGTTGTCTTTGATTGCTGGGACCAGCCATTGCCCAGCTCCAAGTCATTTCTAAAGTGAGTGCAGATCTGTTCAGGTGCAATATCATCACAATGTGTGATGAGTGTGTGCAACTCACTGTGAATTGCACAGTTACAACGGTCAGATGGAACTGGTATTTTCAAAACCATTTAAACTTGAAGCTGCTGAGTATTTTGATCAATTCCTGAGGACAGATGGCTGATCTGTAATCAGGCACAGTTTTGACTGGAAACACCTGGCAAGAAAGAATTTTTTTGTAGCATTTCATCACGTTGAAGTGTCTTAAAGCACTTTAAAGTAGTTGCTATCAAACACAGTGAATGATTTGTAGGCACAGAAAAGCAGGCATTTTACACCTAACACTGTACCACACACCCATGATAGCCAGATGTGAAAGAGCATTAACTCTGGAGAATTGTTGGTCAGAACACCAGCAGATACTCGCAGTAGTGTCATTGGGTCTTTTCTGTCTTCCTTAAGAGGTGGAGCAGGGAACAGATGTGAAACTGTCTTTGATATACGGAGTCAGAATGTAACTTGCTGGGTGTGAAGGGGTTAATGCAGTGCAGACCAGGACCTGTTGGTGTTGGAGAGAGGCTGGTAGTGTGTACAACTCACACAGCCATTCAGCAGCGAGCAAGGTAAGCTCAGTGCCAACCACTCTCAGGGCCAACAGCAGAGCACCATTTGCATGTCTGCCTTTTATTATATCCTTGTGGGATGATGTGCTGCCTCCAAGCCTGAGGACCAAAAGTTCTGTGACCATTTTCATTGTGGCACAGGTACGAGCTGTGGAAGGTCTGTGGAAATTGGTTCATTGTCTGTAGTATGGGACGCTACTCTGTCTCCTCTCAGTAAGTGATTTTTTCTTTCTATCGTAAAGCTGCTGGAGCAGGTCAGAGTCCCAGCAAAGGCAAGGCTTTACTGTACTCTGAGGGTATTGACTGATGGACTGGCTCGTTCCTCTCAGGCCTGCTTCACGTGCCCCGCCTTGCTCGCCCCACTACTGGCGGGCGGGCCTTCCACCACTCTGCACCCACACTCTGGAACGCCATCCCACAGTCCCTCCGTCTCGCCCCCTCCCTCACCACCTTCAAGACCCATCTCAAGGCTCTCCTCTTCAACTGTGCTTTCGGTCTCCCTGCTTCCCCCTCCCTGCCCTCTACCCTCCCCCACCCCGACCCCCAGCTCGGGTCCATAACTCTGTCTGTCCAGCCCCTTGGGATATCCTCTCGATGTTAAAGGCGCTGTACAAATGTAATTTTGTTGTTGTTGTCTAAACTATTGATTTTTGCACCATATTGTCTTAGTGCCAGTCTAACCTTGTCACATGCCCCCTGCAGCCCAGTTACCTTCATGTCAATCCAGCCTTGCTACATGTTCCCCGCTCTTATGTATTCATATATTTGATAATTAATGGCAACACCATTGCAGTCAAGAGCAGCCCCTCGTGACAAGTGAAGGAAGAGTAGCTTGCAATTGGGGTTTTTTTAAATCGAGGATTTCCTTCTCTCTTGGAGGCTCCAGTGTTCAAACAGGGATGTAGAAACTGATTACCATTGAAAATGCAGTCTGCGGGCTCCTTGTGGCCAGGAAGCAGAGGCATTACGA